TAAATTAAAATCCAAGTGGATTAAAGATCTAAATATTAAAACAGAAACATTAAACTTGCTGGAAGGAAAGTTAGGCAGAACTCTGGAAGACATTGGCATAGGAAAAGACTTTATGAACAAATTCTCAGTAGCATGGGAACTAGCAGAAAGAATCAACAACCGGGATCTCATCTTATTAAAAAGCTCTGCATTGCAAAAGAAACGATCAACAGAACTAAGAGACAACCTACAATGTGAGAAAAAATTTTACCAGCTGCTCCTCAGACAAAGGACTACTATCTAGAATATATAGAGAACTCAAAACAATCAGTCCCCCCCAAATATAAAGACCAATTCAAAAATGGACATCTTAAATGAACAGACATTTCTCAGACAAAGAAATAAAAGCAGCATGTAAATATATGAAAAAATGTTTCACATCACTGGTCATTTGAGAGATGCAGATGAAAACAACACTGAGATTCCACCTCACCCCACACAGAATGGCTGCTACCAAGAAATCAACCAATAACAAATGTTGGCAGGGTTGTGGGGAGAAAGGAACCCTTCTCCATTGTTGGTGGGACTGCAGACTGGTGCAACCACTATGGGAATCAATATGGAGGTACCTCAAAGAGCTGGGACTAGAGGTTCCATTTGACCCAGCCATCCTCTGCTGGGTATCTTTCCAAAAGAATTAAAAGAATCATATCACAGTGATATATGCACACCTATGTTTATAGTGGCACAGTTTGTAATAGCTAAATCTTGGAAACAGCCCATTTGCCCATCAGTTGGAAACTGGTTAAAGAAGATGTGGTTTTTCTGTAAAATGGAATACTACTCAGCCATAAAGAAAGAGAAATTAGATTCATTCATAGTAAAATGGATAAATATTGAGGATATACTCCTAAGTGAAATAAATAAGTCACACATGTGTAAATACCGAATAGTTTCTCTGGTGTGAAAAACTATAATAGTACACAAGATCCTAATGATATAATTAATAGTGTGAAATTGGAAGAAAAGTGATAAAGGTGTAGGGAAAATGGGAAGGGTAGGGGAAGGGTAATAAGGGAAAAGAAAAAATATGACAAAATGGAAGTAAAGTGTATGTAAATGGGGAGGGGAGGAGGAGTGAAGGGAGGGCACAGACAAGAGGAAAAAAAATGAGAACCAAGACCTGTCATGTAAAGGTACAAGATCCCAATAATGAATGTAATTGTACTGTATACTTAAAATGTACCAATAAACTCAATAAAAGAAAAAAAGCCAAACATTTATACACAACAAAGTAGATCCCTGACTGTGCTATACTACTGCACACTACTGCACAGTACAGTAAGCACACAGCATCACAACTGTGGCAATGTCTGGCAGACACATGAGCTAGTTCCCATGATTTGCTTGCACCTGAGAAATGTTCATGATGTGAGGTTGTTAGCATCTGTGAAAGTCTGCAACGTGAATGTTCATAAGTTGGGGACTTATTGTACACCATTCTGGGATTGGTTCAAATTATGCATTTCATATATTTTTGAGAAGTGCTTAACTAAAAATTTATCTAAGATGTGCTTCAGGCTCTGATATGTGTTAACTCTAGGTCTTTTTGAACTTCTGATTTTTTTAAATTTTGTTTCATCTCTATGTCTCTTTACAACCTTAAACTTCAGTTTGAGAGTGAAAAGAAACTCAAAAGAGAAATTGGTAGGTATGAGTAATAAGAAGACTTTCCAGCGAGTAGAGAAGATTGTGGGATTAAATTATACCAGCACACAGAAACTGGGAAATAATATATTATTATTTTAATCTTAAACCACTAAGTGTTGCACAGTTTTATTATGCCAAAACTAATTATTATTATGGGAACCAATACACAAGTACATTCTGGTTATGTTGCAAGATGGATAATTTCCTGGAAAAGGGAGAGACATCAAGCTTCCATCTTAATTTAAAATTTTCAAAAATTAACTTAAGTTCTTAAAAAAGAACTTAATTCAATTAATTCAATTTTAAGAAACATTAAATAAATATATGAGTAGCAAAAAGTGGTATATGCAACCTTCACATTTAGGCAAATGTCTAAACTTGGGCAGATATTTATTTGATTCAGTGATTTTCAGTCATTCTTTGTCCATAGAAGCCTAGTATCTGTTTATCTATCTATCATTTATCTATCATCTACTTTTTACAGAATTATCTAGGTAGGTTAACTGCTCAAAAACCAAAGTAACATTTTAATGGGGCTGAAGTGAGATGGAATTTTTTTTCACTTAATGAGTCTATATAAGCATTTCAAGGCTGACTAGGTAGTTAAATGGTGTAAAAGTCCCAAGCTCCTTTCATAGTTTTACTTCTTTCTAGGGTGTGGCCTCTGTTATCGCCAGCCAGCAAGAAGGGGGAAATGTCCAGGAAGAAATCTGGCCCTTTCCTTTAGAAGCAAAATGTGAAAGTTGCATATACCACTTATGCTACTGTGTCATTGATCAGAACTTGAGCACGTGGCTCCATTCAGCTACATGGGAACCCAGAAACATAGTCTTTATTCTGGATAGCCACGTGGCTGGATAGAATTCTACAATTTTGTAAGAAGGGGAAAGAAGATATCAGGGGGCATCTTGGTGCCTTTGAAATATAACCTTTTCTCAAATCAAGTCATATGTGGATTGAAGAAGCAAACCTGTAGCAATAAGGGCTATCCTTCCAAGCACTCAAAACATCTGAATGACTTTTCCCCAAGTAGGCAAGAAATTCCCCAACTGTGCACACCTGTTCAGGCAGCCTCAGGGAATCCCTAAGTACCTCCAGCAGTCCCAGGTTGTACAAAACACATGCTTTAAGATGACTTGAATCATCTCAGATCACATATTTCATAAGATGGTTGGTTGGGTTAGAAGATATCAGCTTGTCAAGCATATGGCTCTGTGCTCAGCACAAAGAATACCTAACAAATAAAGACTGTCCTGCTGGTATCACAGCATTTCTTAGCCTCAGGAGGGGGGACATGTGAGTAGGCATAAAATTCCAGGTTCCATTTCATGCACACACTCTATGAAGCCCAAATCATTTTCTATTTCACTAGGTTTGTCCCTGTTTGGCACCTATATCTCTAACCTTTAATCTGTTTGTATCTCTTCCCTCTGTGCTGTTTCTTGAGAGAGAGAGAGAGAGAGAGAGAGAGAGAGATCCCTCTTGTTTCTCTTCTCAGCCACGTCACTTCCTGTCTGTATCTTCATTTTACTGAAACTTTTCTCTGTGTTTTTTCTTTCTAATCCTATCACCTTGGCTTTTTATTTAAATTTTCTTTTGTCTTTGTCTTCATTGATACTTCTTTGACTCATTGAAAATGTCCCCCCACCTCTAGGTCTATTTTTGTCTAAGTGTAGTTCTATTTCTCTGCATCTCTCTTTTTCCTTTGTTTCTCTCAGTTTTGTTCTCTATCTCCATCACAGGATACATGGTATGACCTGCCTCATCCTTTCCCTGTTTCTCTGTTTTGGGCTCTCTGATTATTCCTCTTTAGTTTTCTTCCACTTTTTAGTTCAAGTGCCTCCACTTCTGACTTCCTGTCTTAGAGGTGAGATGGTGAAAGGAGACATGTTAGGGATTCTTTCTCTCTTCCTTCTTGTCTGAATGGAAACATCAGGTTCATGCCTACTACCACACACACACTACACCATAGGCCAAACTACTTTAAGGGCATGTATGTGTATGTATGTGTGTGTGTGTGTGTGTGCGTGTGTGTGTGTGTGT